AGAGACAGAGACAGGGACAGAGAGGAGGTTTGAGACGGGGAGATCTCACTCCGTAACTTTTAATTAAAGTACCGATAGCAGATTTGAACCAAGTTCCGTGGGGGCACCCTTACTCTCGTCTTTTTTGTGATGCCTGGATTAGGCTACTGATTATATTTTCAACAGTTGACGAGTAATTGTACAGCAACACATGTTTAAAGTAACCCTCCCTGCCCTGTTTGTTTGCTATGTGCTGAAGGACGTGTATTGTGTAATGCCGACATGCCGACATGCTGACGCTTTTCTTCTTTCGATGCGCGTCATCGCAGAAACTACATTCCCAGAGGAATATGATGCTATCATAACCTAGCCGAAAGTTTATTTGCCTATTGTTATTTGTGAGGCATCAACACGTGAAGGTGTCAAAGGAGATAATGTTGAACGTGACCTTTAAAGCACACACGTATGCTGCGTCAACCTCTTCGGTTGATGATGCGGATACTTTTATCACATTTTTCTGATTCATGGATCAAATACAGAACCTTTTCGAAAGCCTGCAGAAACATGCAGTCACACACAAGACACGCATGATTAAACATACATACATGATCACTTATAAACGTTATGTCACGCATAGTTAGAAGGGGTTTGGGTTCATATTAGGATTCGAGTGTTTTTTGGTTTATTTGACTGTTTTATTGTATTTTAAATAGGCTTACTCCACATCCGTTTATGCACAATGAATAACAGAATGTCCTGGAAAAAGAACTGAACAGACATTTTACCAGTTTGACAACAGGGAAGATGTTGAGTCTGCTTTTATAGAAAAGGTTTTGTATATTTATTTAATTGGCACAGTTGTTCCTGTTGTCACTGTAGATTGTTTTCTGGTTAAAACGTGGATTACAGGGTCCGAGTGAAGAACCCGTTTGCAAACAGTTGCCATGTGCAAATAATCAAAAGGTCATAAAACTGGCTTTTCCCTTAACATTCATAAATAAAGAAACTGACCCTGTAAGCCACTTTTACGAATACACCCAAAATCCATAGATTGTTTTTGACAGACAATGTGGCATTTTGCCAGAACAAAGAAGCTTTATTTACCTCACTGTCATAAGTTGAACAACCGAGACGGGATCGGTTTAAACAATCAGTCCAAAAGATGTAGAATTATTACAACAGCAGCATGTGTTCCTTGAAACCCTACACGAGTTGTTGCCAGACAGCCTACTCTCTGGCAGGAGATTTCTAGTCCCAGTGTGGTAATAAAAAACATTTATTTGATCTATCATCATCATCTCATTTCGACACTAAACTGGAGGAATTCTCCGAGAGCTTCTGTGAAGTTTTGGCGGGTCATTAAAGAGCAGTTGTGCAACCCTCAGCTGAGCTGCAGAGCATCCTGTTTGAGTTTTGGAAGTTTATCAAAGACAAATTTGACTGTTGAGAGAACCCTGACATTTACGACACGATACCTGTCAGATTGTTTGTTATTGGCGCAGCCACTGCAGGAGTTGGGGCAGCACTGATATCCATAGTTATTGTATAATGAATCCTGTATACAAGTATAAATGACAGTATGCCATTTGTCAATTAAAATTACAACAGGTAACCTCTTTATCATCCTCTTTATCATTCAGTCAGTTCAAATTTGGTACAAACTGCATGAACTGTTCAGGCAAGAAGGATTCCTCTACTCTAAAACCAGTTTGTGGAGAAATAGACTGCTACCACCGATCTGTCAGAGAAGTAACTTCAGATTATTATAGAGAAAGGTACAGAGAACACCGCTATGAGGATGGGGGTATAGACTGATACAATCACTCCATATACATTGCACAAATACAACTCCAATATTTCTCCCCTTTGTTTTAGATGTGGCCTAGAAGAGGGAACATTGTTACCCTCCACCTGGCAGTGCCTGAAACAAAAGAGGTTTCGGCAGAGCGTATGTGACACCCAATCCAGTATCCATGGTGTTGACTTTCTATTGGACCCGGAGACTTATTTATTGAGTAACTTTACTAAATACAACCTTAAAAATGTCCAGGTGATGAAGCTCACAAAAAAACTTGCTGGCAATGGAAATCAGATGTAGTGGTCTCGATGGAATGTGGCTCTCTTAAACGAATAGTTCAGAGAAGATAGCGTATTGGTTAAAAGGAAAAAGAGTAAAACATTTAACAAGATGTGGAAACCCTTCTTGGATTATATAAAAGATCACCAAAGCGCACCAAACAGATAGCGTCTCTTTTTAATCTTGTATTGGTGATGTGACTGAATACCTGGAGCCGCTTCTTGTCTCTTAATGTTTGTTTAGTTATATCATTTTATTGTCATTGTTGTTCATTTGACTTTAAGTTGTTTTGCTTGCTGTCTTTTTGACTTTGTGCTGTTATTCATCATTGATTGGCTACATGATATTTGTGCACTCACCTGGGTAAGGCACATGGAACCAAGGGGAGTTTTTCACGGCGTCCAGGCTGATGTCGGTCCTGGCGGAGAAGCCGTACTCATCGGACTTTGTGGGGAAGACGTCAAAGATGGTCAGTAAGAAGCAGACCAGCCAGGCGCCGCACATCCCGAACAAAGCCTAGGATTTGTCGTCAGATACAAAGCGTCTCAGTGCACTGAAATGGAACTTCCACCAACATTAACATTCTGTGAGAATACTAACCACATGCCGAGCGTCACGTTGAGCGTCAATCCGCCACCAATAAATTAGCTCAGGAAGGATCGCGTGGAGCACAGGTTCTCGCAAACAAACTCCGCTATTGCATCATTCAAACAGCACGAAATATGACGATGTTTTCAACAACCCTGTCTTGGATTATCAGCACAATCTGATTTCGCTAGTTTCTCGCATTTCATTTTTACGTCTTCATTCAACACGCCTTGGGCACTGGCCTAGACTTCAGATCGTGGGAGCAAAGAGTTGTGAAGAACTCTTCAAGGAGTGTCGAACAGTAGCTCGGGGGCAGAGAAAAGAATGTGCTTCAGTTTCCTGGATTTCTGTCATCATTACATCTTAACCTAAAGGATCAAATAGGAAGATATATCAATCCATAACAGCTTCATATTCAAACTATAAATTACACATTTCAGTACGAGAGTATTTCATGCATCATTTGACTACTTAATGATGAATGAGGACTTGGCAAGACGCTGTATATTCTACTGGGAGTTGGCTAACCTCGTACAGTGGATAGGATCTTCCTATGCTGCTATATAATGCCGCGTGTCACTCCTTCACACTAGAAAGCACCGCATTCCATTCTTTGTGTGGCTTCATTTGACGATAGAAAATAAACACTGATGAAAAGCCTTGTTTACTGTAAGATGGAGAGACCTTTAGGGTTTTGTTGTTTGTTTTTTAGGCTTGTGAGTCCTTCTGCCAAAATGTGTAGCGCTGCCATACACAAAGCATTCCAACCCTGAGAAAAAGGTGACTCAGAGGCCTTTAAGTTCTCTGGAGGAGCTTCTGCATTCGGTTTGATGTTTTTGTTAATCTTTTTAAACCTTTATTGTTTTTTGGAGTCTGCGTTTTAGTAGCATGTTTACTTTCAGCACCATACTTCTAATCATTCACACATTCACACCCAGGAGCTTCAAAGCACAGCCGAAAAACCCTCAGGCTGCTGGCAACGCTTGTTTAACAGAAAATAAATAAGTGTTTAATGATGGGAAAGGATTCTTCTGTAGTCAACATCTGTGTCTTAATCTCTTGTCACAGTGTAAATTACTTTTGTACGTATCCGCCGAGTTCTGATTGACAGCGACCGGTTGTTGTCACTGCGTGAATGAAGCAGGGCGGTTAAAAAAACTAAACCCATCCTTAATGAATTCAGGTTAAGAAAAACAAACGCATTCTCTGTGTTGCTTTATCATCGCAGATGATCTCTACCTGTCAGTTTAAAACTGTAGTCAGAGGACATTTGAAGCACTCAGAAGTCATGAAAGACTGAAGTTCCACCCACTAAAGAAAACAAAAGACTTTGAAGGAAAGCGTCTAAAGTCATGCAGGATCAGGCTGCACTAAGACGGACGGAGGGCAGGACGGAGTGCAGGACTCTGGTGGGACGAGAGGTGGACTCGTGAGTCTTGGTGGTCAAACATCAGTCAGAGTTGATGGACAACGTTTCCCTGATGTCGAATTCTTAATGTGAAGATGTCGGCCATATTATCTGCCAGAGATCTTTTTTTTGTTGTTGCTGCTGTTGACGTTCCTCCTGATGCAGAGCTAAAATAACTGCACTACAGTAATGCCCTACTGCGAGTATTCTGAAAAGCACTCTATAAATAAAATGTATTGTTATTATTATATTACTGTTTTGGTTTTGTTGTGTTTGTCGTGTTTTTCTTGTGTTGCAAATGAGCTGCTGCTGCATTTCGTTGTGCCGCCCTGTGTTGCATTGCAATGAATGATCCTTGAATTTCTTCATACATTTGAATGTAATTATCTCAGTCACATTGACTGGTATATTTGTGATAATAAAAAATATAATTATAATTATTATAAAGTTTTTGTTTGTACCTCATCCCACGATTTATGCAAACCATTTCAAGATACAATAACAACAGCAGGTACAGTTAACGTCTCTGTCAAACAAGCACTCCAAAAATAGCCAGCAGATATGATAACTCGCGATCATATTTCGGGCATAATTTCACTTTTTATGTAAACAGAACGGAGATTTTGATCGCAAAATGGAGCCTGCATTCCGCCGGTTAGATTGACACCTCATTTGACCCAATAGGAGCTTCTATAGCCCGGCCACAGTCTGGAACAGCCTACGAGAGTCCGCTTTGAAAGACAATGCCCGCCTCTCTTCTTTGGGTAAAGCTCGAGCCAATCGCACCAGATCCTGTTCAAACTCAGGCTCCACATAGCCAATGAAATTACGAAGCCAGGGGTCTGCAGATTTATCAGATTGAATGCTGGGAAAGTTTTCAAAACTGCAATTGAAACCGTGAGTGAGGTAACTGGGACAGAGTATGAAGATAAAAGTCCGGTTCACGAGAATTTTCAAGAATCTGTGAAAGTTAACAATGGTTAAAATATGATATAGTTAACCATACATGGACATAATTAAGCTGTAGTTCCAATTTCGGACACGTAGTTTATCCAGATGTGTTTTTAAGCGGCAGCACTCTTAGTAAACCACGTGTAAAATATTAATTTTCTGTCATTTATAACTTATACCAGATACCATAGCTCCATGGTGACATAGTGTTGTCTTTTCAGGCCTGTCAGTCCCAGCCATAGATAGCTGCTGCCATCTGTTGGCCAAAACAAATCTAGGCGGAAGTAAAATGCTTCTCTTTCACTGTGCTGAAAACGCATTAGCTCAATGCTAGTAGCACTTACAGTGATTCTGACTGATTGTGAAGAAACTTCAGAGTGTTGCCGTTCAATAAAGACTAAAACCATACATGTACTCCCAATGGTTCAATAAGAGCTGTCAGTTTACTTTGGGTATGTGGTTGATAGGCGTTTTAGGCAAATTATGCAGGAATGAGAAGGTTTTAATGTACCTCTAAAAATGTTCAGCTCCACAGTTTATGGACGCATTATTTTTATTTCCGCTGGCATGTAAGATGAAAGCAACAGTATCTGCACAGATGCTTCAGGAACGGAGATAAGACTACTTACATTGTAAAAAAAAAATCAAGTTGTACTTGTTTTGAATATAGAATTATAATCTAGCACTCTTTCTGACTTAATTATCTGACTGAGGATGAAAAATAGCTTTTAGCTATATCTCTGTATAATGCATCTGATTTCAAGTAGTGAAGTTTATGTTTATTATGTATGGTTTATTTTATATATATATATATATATATATATATATATATGGATATCTTTGATTTGGACACTTTGAATTAGAAACATATACACATGTTTTTAAGATCCACACGGTCACTGCACGTTATGAGCAGACTTTGGCTTAATGCTGGATGATTCCTCGCAGTGTATATTAACATTTATGGTTTTGAAGCGAGGCACGGATGTTATAAACAGGTTTTATGGGACAAACATGGAGCTGAAACTAAAATTGTATGTTTTTTTTCCATGACAGAAGAGAAGCAGAACGCATGAGACCCGGAGAACTTTGGCAACTCACAGAGAAGAGCTTGAAGAGAGGGTACTGGAAAACCTTCCACTTCTTATCCTTGTACGCGATCATGGGGACGTTGACTTTGCTGAGATACTGAGAGAACAGCAGGATCAGACACACCGTGCTGTAAGAAAAGACAAGACAGGTAAGAATGCCTCACTCGCAGTAGTTTCCCCAAAGGCCCGGCCCCCGCGCACAGCTACTAGTGTAAATCTGCTTTGACATGCTATGCTTCTATACGTCTTAGCAAGGGAAAGCTCACAGCCAGTGAAAACATGCCATGTCAAACAGCGGGTCACCTAAGCATAAAATTAGCATAAAATTAGTGAATCGAACAATGTAGAATACTTATTAACTCAGTTCCCTGCCTTTGAATGGGATCTCATGCTGCCCGTGAAGCACTTCACGCTGTGCATGAAAACACTGCACACTGCATGAAATGCCGTTCTGGACCGATGCCAGTGTCATGGTGCATGTTGTTTCAATGGGAGAGTCTGCAGCATGTGGAGACGTCTACCAGAAACAGTTGCTGGAGGTAAACAAAAAAAAAGCTGTATCTGTCAGCTCGACATAAAGAGCAAAATCGGTCTATGTCTTGAACATATTGAAGGAAAATAAATGTGCTTGGACAAAAAAAATAAAAGATTCTAAGAAACCGTAATGGATCTTGAATGAAAGAGCAGAAAAACGGCAGGATGCCCGAGAGGGGAAAGATGCGGGAGACGGTGATGTGATATCCTAATTTGTGAGAATGTGGAGCTCCTCGACTCCTAAGGTCTCCTGCAGTGTTTTCAGAATAAAAGCCCCACTCTGTATTGTTATTACTGTATGTATACCATGATATCAATAATACATACTATTAGGGCTGCATGTTTATGGTACTTTTTTGATAATCATTATTCTTCATGATCATTCATTGATGTTAGGGGCAAAATATACTTATTGCACTCTCATTTATATAAACAGAGCTTTCGTAGCAAGACTTCTTACCTAAAATGAAGTCAACAGAGCTTTCCCTTTTCACGTTGTGATACAGTCCTGCTAAGTAACACATCTTTGCATTAAATCAAGTGCATTTTGGAATATAGTACAACAGCGAGCGAGTAATATACAGCGTAATACTGCTCTGGACATTCGTCAAACAAAGTTTTTCACAAGCTGCGGCCGTAGGGTTGATCATATTGATCATGTTTTAGAAAAAATGGACTGAGGGCGCTTTCACACCTGAAGGGATCAATTGGTGCGGACAAAAGGAAAAATATTAAACATTGTAGCATTTTAGTTCCGGCCTGGTTCCTGTTCACACTGACTTTTTACAAACAAACACACAAGAGGAAGTCAACGATTGGAGAGTCAGAGCCCACGTGGGGTGACTTTAAAAAGTGCTGCAAACACTTCTGTCAGTGACGTGTTTGCAGCACTTTAATGCTCCAGATGTGTATATTCATGTTCTTTGATTAATACTTGGTAATAAGCATTATCAGTATCATTACACTGCAAATCGGCCACATGTTATGAGTAGTGACTAGAGTAGAGGCTTTGCGGCCCTTTGCACGCTCCCAGATGACGGCTGTGTACGACGGGGTTTATTACCCTGGGATTGTGTTCACATACTTTTTAATGCAGTTAATGAACTGACAAAGTATAGCGGACCGAGGGCTACCTCTTGAAGCGGTCTCGATTCTGTTGTTGGTCCGCACTAGGGTTTTTTTAATTAACAGCTTTCACTCCGGCCCAAATGAAACCGACAAAACGTTCAAGGGTTTGGTTAAAACGGGACAGGTTGTGTTCGTTGTGTGTGTGTGTATGCTGGGAGTGTTGAGAATGTCTGTGTCTCTGCGCCTGTAAGCTGCTGGTTATCCTGCAAAGGGACTGCTGGCTGGGTGGGGGCTAGTGCACTGAGGCTTAGAAGGATGTCTGACTGATTACCACCACCGGGAGGTGGATGTGCTGAACCTTTTAAAACCTTTTAAAACCCGCAAGGATGGCTCTATGTAATGACTTTAGTGGCAGCGTGTGATGGCGGTAAATGAAGACATCTTTCATGGGGTTGGACGGGTCAGGAGCAAAAGTAAATCAAAGGAGCATTAATATGGAACAGTGGGCTGCAGCAGCAGTCGCTGTGGAGGTTTGGTGGATTTAAATTGTGGCCATGACGGCTTTGATAAAGAAACAAAGTGGGTGGAAAACAGACGATGAGTTATCGAGATGAATGAAGATGTTTTGGTGCACAGAAGCACAGAAATTAGATTAGAAGTCTGTTTCCAGTAATGCTGTTAGGTTCCCATGCATTTCTATGTCTCATCTTACTGTACTATATTTGTAAATGCCAGAGATATGTTGCAATTGCAATCGTGTATTGCAATTTTATCATTAATCCTACGTGTAATCTTACATAGAGCCTCAGACACAGATGACAAACTAAAGTGAAAATCTGAGGATTGAGTGTTTCTGAACAGTTTGATATCATAATAATATCACATATCATAATATCACATATCACAATACCAAGATCTCAACCCAATTGAACAAAAGTCTGGGATTTTGGACTTGGACAGGTGACATCATAAGAACACAAAAGGAGGGAATATCTTTTGGCAGAATGGTGTTCATCCAGTCAGTGAGGTTCACAGACAAATTGAAGCTCCTGAGGCTCGTGGTGGAACAACAAGGTAATAAGAACTTTTTGTTGGTTTTTCCTTTCATTTGTATACCTGAGAGTACATTAAAGTACACACACATATACAACTACAACACATATGATCACTATATCAGCTTATCGTACAATATATGGACATAACCTCGACCATTTTGACGTGATGACTTTTTGTGCCATATATGGACATTACCTCAGACGTTTTTACGCCATTGATTTATCCTATGATAAACAAACAAGGCCTAAGTCATTTTACAGTATTGATTTATTGTACAATATATGGACATGACCTCGATCATTTCTACGTGACTTATTGTACGATAAATGGACATTACCTCGGTCATTTCTACGTGACTTATTGTACGATAAATGGACATTACCTCGGCCATTTCTAAGTGACTTATTCTACGATAAATGGACATTACCTCGGTCATTTCTACGTGACTTATTGTACGATAAATGAACATTACCTCGGTCATTTCTAAGTGACTTATTCTACGATAAATGGACATTACCTCGGTCATTTCTACGTGACTTATTGTTCGATAAATGGACATTACCCCAGACGCTTTTATGCCATTGATTTATCCTACGATAAATGGACATGACCTTGATCATTTTTACAATATCGACTTATCATACGATATACGGACATGATCTCGATCATTTGGGCGCTATCAACTTATCGTACTATATATGGAAATGACTTTGATTATTTTTGCTGACCTCGATATTGCCAGTTGTGTTAACATGTTTACATAAGAATGGCACAAACATTTTTGCCAACATGTTGCCAGAATAAACAGTAGGGTTTTCCCAACCATTATTATACTTGGGCATTACGCAGATGTTGCACATGTTCTGTTAACAGAGCCCGAGAGTTTAGGATATTTAATACTGAATATAAAATGGCAATAATATTGTTTGTCGCAATTGTTTCTGATACGATAAATTGCCCAACACAAAAAAGTTATCGACAGGCTCATGTGCTTCATAAATATATCCTCCACTACAAATATATGTTTGTATATTTTGTGCAATGCAGCGGTGTAAAACACCATCCACTCACAGAGCAGCTATTCCCCAGTGACCTCCAGACTTCTTCCCAGCTTCAATGAACAGCGACAGGCCGATGAGGTTGATGGTAGGAGCGATAGCCAGCGGGCCGATGTATTTCAGCACGAGACCCACCAGCCCCGAAAAACCCAGGACGATCTGGAGCAGAGAGGACACCAGGATGGCCCCCTGGATCTGTGGACGAGGCAAGAAGGACACAATTGAGCTAGATGCCGGGTTGTTGGTACTTGACTGTGCAACACATAGCATACCAATGTTGTTCCTGGAGGTATATTTAAACTTATAATAACTTTAAACTAGCTTTAATGCTTTTTGCTACTGTGAATGGAAAACAAAAACAATTTGTGATATGTGATTTTGAGAGTCGTGAAATATTATAGCTCCCAGAAACATCGCCTTGTGAAATTTAGTTTTCTAGTCACAGGCATGTCTTGTGTTCTGTTCGGTGGACATTTTGGAAGACAATAACCGTGATAAAAAATAATAATAAAAGATGACTGCAAGATCTTGCTATGTATCTGCATACTCTAAAACATTTTGATTTCATTTCCTTTTGATTTGGTATTGGATGTAACTGAGCTCTGAATAAAAAGAAAAACATGTATTTATTGACCTTTAAAGGTCTATTTTTTGTTTCACTATGCAGATCTAAGGGTGAAAAGATAAAATGTTAGAGTTATGTGAACTTTATTTCATTATCTGTAAATAAATGTATGTTGTCTGTTTCATAAAGCAGTAGTTGTGTTTCACTTATCGTCCCCTTAGTATTCTATTGGCCTCTAACCCATTCCATTTTAACTTGAAGTTACACATACACACATACACATGCATGTTGACTTTCCCTCAGGGGAACGATTTCTTGTGCAAAACTGTGAACAGAGCTCTGTTACAGCAATTTAATACATATCTAATATCATGGAAATTGAGTATATAAAGTATAATTATGAGAATAATGATTTATTACTGAAGAGACTTTGGAATATTTATTATTATTACTTTTTGATTAAAACTAAACCTAAATTTCTGGAACGATTAAAAAAATGAAGGGTTTTATTTGAATGTACCAAACTTTTTCTTAGAAATTTGGCATTTTCAACACAGTTTTTTGACCCACATGTATATATTTTACCCACATTTCTGTGTTTTTACTAAACATATTAGCATTTGAACACAATTTGAAGGTGTTTGATCCCAAATGTCCAGTTTTTTAAGTTGTGTTATGCCTATTGTATTTTTTTGAGGGGGTTTACAATTTATTTCCCCTTTGGGGTTTTAACCACACATCTCTGGATTTATGTTTCCAGTCCAACCGTTAAGCAACAGGATTAGTGCCTTGCATGCAGGGTTGCTGTGGTTGAAGTGCATAACAAGCCTGCAACGATAACCAATAAGCAGGTTACAGCTATTATTTACCGCCAGCTGCAGTGTATGTGCAAAGAAAAGGTAACTGAGCAATTAAATTTCTTGAATTGAGACTATGATACACAGCCTTCTTCATTCCCTTTAAATGAATTAGCGCTGCTTAGGCGACTGATTGGTCACCTCCAATGTAAGGGCACAGAAGGTGCTGAAAATCCTCCTCTGGCTCAAGTAAGTATTTGACATACCTCACGCATTCGTGACATCCAGACTTCATCGGAATTTCCATCTTGCAGCGGGCTGGTACTGTTCTGCAGCTGCATGGACAGCGTCACAGGTGCTTGTGGGGCTGGACACTGCCACTTGGGGAGAGCGAGAATGGCCAGGGTCGGAGTGATGAAACTGAATGTTCCACCCTGGAGGATCGGTAACCTGCAAGTGAGTAAGGTGACAGGGTTAAAGATCAGAGGTCCCTGGACCACATGATGTCAGGTCTCTGCCGACTAGGATGACCTGGAATTGTTCAAAGCAAGCTTGAAAGGAGAGCTGAGAATGGTAATCATTTTGGCTTTCAGAGTGAGGACTGAGATACTTACAGAGACAAGGACATAGCGCCGCATCGCTCACGGTGTGTTGGTTTGAGAGAGAGAGGTAGAGAAGGTGGAGGCCGGTGATCTCATAATATGAATCTACTCTCATTTGTATCGTTATTTTTCTTTCAGCAATATCGTCAGTAGGGGAATTTCAATATTGACTAACCCTGATGGAAATTATAATTAATAATGCATGAAATAATGTGGATTATTTTCTTTTTCTTGTGTTGCAGCGTATATATTTCTACAAACTTTTGTCTGTATGTCTTTGTGTTTTTATCCTTTTATTCCCTTGTTTAAAAAAGACCTTCATAGCACAGTTAAAAAAAATAAAATTAACTTATCATTTAATGTTTAAAGTGTTTGCTGGGATTCCACGTTTGGCTCTTTAAGCTTTTGCCAAACTGTGCAGGCGGAAAACTCAAACTAAAGCATTTGCAATTCGCTCAGGCTTACTATTACAGCAGTGGGGGCAGGAAGGTGTGTGTGGCGCCCTGTACTGTATTGTACTCTATAGTATGTGTGGGTGACAGCTGCACTGTAAGGCATAGAGATTGATGCATCGGTTTCAGAAGGATTTTCCTCTAACAGCGCCAAACAGCTCCCAGGATTTAGCAAATCTCTATTATGAAAGGAAAGCCACAAAATAAGCCGTGTAAACTTTGGAGAAAGGCTTTGAGGAACTCATCCTGAAGGATAAATCTCACTTCCACTGTTAGTGTCACGTAGAGCCCGACGGTGGACTGACTCACCGCACTTAACACCACATCAACCACCACCGGAGTCTCTGCATTAGCTGAGTTGATCTTCAGGCTGTTGCAAATACAGCTCAGCACTGTTTTGGGTGCACATGAAGGTTCGGAAACCAGCACGGGACCATTGCAAGGAGGCCGTGTATGTCGGGCAAGTGTCATGTAATCTTCAATACATTTTAGGTTTAAATACCTCTTTGTCCTTATCATCAGCAGTGTAAATCATTCAGGTCAAAGGTGTGTAGAAATGGTAATAAACTAGAGTTCCCTCCATCTCTTAACCAGGGCATTCCCTCAATTTGTACCTCCTGTAAATCTTAAAACACGGGGCTTTGAATACGAAGAGGAGGTTCTCACATCTGTATGTGTAAATCTTCTTAAGTGCAAGTCAACATCTCCGTGAGGCCTGGTACCTCCCAGTTCACTGGTTCAGTGAGACAATAAGGGGGATTTACCTGGTACCGACAGCTGTCTGCAGTAGTGTACATAAACCCGACACGAAGAATATGGTGGAGATGAGCTGGCTTTTGGCGACGTTGTTGTCCTTTATGCAGAGGGGCTCGGCCAGGATCAGCGGGACTGCAATGATGCCCCCAAACGCGAGGATGTAATGCTGTGGAGGCAGATGAAAAGGTTTAGATTTGGGGATTTTTTTGTAAAATGTATACATATGAATGTTTTCTTGTGTGCCATCTTGAGGTTTAGTTCAGTTTAGGACAGATTTCCATTCATCGAGGAGAACTTGGATGAATGGAAAAAAGAAATTCAAGGGAGATGTCAATAGGCCTGAGCAGATTTATGGGGCTATTTTCAAACCTACCACTCCCATAAATCAGATGGAGATGCCTATGGTCAGTTCCATGACAGGAAACTGGAAGGAGGCTTCCTTCAGGAAGAAGGCTGCTTAAAAGGCCACAGTTCATCTCCAGTCATCATTGTACTTTATGCCTCCTGGCAAGTAGGGCAGCAACAAAAGTCTTCCACTCCCGTCTGTCCTGGGCGAGTCGCTGGATGGTGCCCCATGAGTGGTTTAGGCTCTGCATCTCCTTCTCCACAGTTCTTCTCCATGTGTTTCTTGGTCGGCCTCTTTTTCATTTCCCTTCTAGTGTCCAATGTAAGGCTGTTCTTGTAATATTACCAGGGTCTTTTCTCAACACATGTCCTATCCATCTCCATCTTCTTCTCATTAGGATGGTCTCCATGCATTCTTGTTGGCATTTGTCATACAGTCCTTCATTTGAAATGGTGTTTGGCCAGAAAATGTGCAGAATTCGCCTTAAACTCTTGGTGTGGAAGGTTGATAGTCTGTTGAGATCTTCTTGTGTCATTCTCCAGCATTCAGAACCGTACAATAATCTCCAGGGAATGTATGTTAATCCCAAATTGACAGAAGCTCCTCTTTACATAGTTTAAACTACAAGGTGACACTTAATGAATTTATCTTTTCCCCGTGTTTCTTACCACAAAACCCCACATTTGTATTATTCTGTGACACACAACAGTCCCTGACAAATACACTATTCACTCCTGTTTGTGTAACGTTTGCTAAAAACTACAGTGCCAAGATATTTCAGAAAATCATTTGTGCTTTTTAAAAAACTATATAGTGTTGACCTGTTTTTTGTTTTTTTTACAGAATTACGTCTTCAGTAGGAACTAATTGATTTGGGGGTTTAGTGCCAGAGACACAGAAGGAAAGTCAGAAGGTGTTGAGTGTTGGTTTGAAGTCTTTGAGACATTTTTTGACAATAACTAGCCTATAGCCTTACACCAGCCATATGTGACGGTCATGCTACAAAGCGACATTCGCTCGTCCACGTCCCACAAGTGGGGCAGGAAGCTTGGTGAAGTAGTGACAACACCATGGGGTAGTTGGTAGGGAGAAGTCAACAGTAAGCGTGGGTGTTAAATGGTGTGGCTGAAGGTTAAAAGTTGGTCAGATGCTGATAAATAACTCAATAAATCAAGAGTCTTGTTAAATAAAAGCAGATGGTGAAAAGAAATCCACTCCAACATCTTGTCTTTGTCCAAAAAAGGACCTGCCTCTCCAAACGAGGAATGAGCCCCGTTAATCAAATGAGATTCCAAGTTTGATGGAATGCCACAGGCGAAGCTCCCTGGCTGTTGTTTTTACAGCAATTAGGAAGGTATCACAGTAACTTGACAATAAAATACTGTTGTTTAACACATGGAACCATTTACTGAAAGGTAGCGGAATAATTTATTTCCTAAAGGTATTTCAAATAGTTGCTTTCAGCTCAATAAATCGTACGTATTCACTAGGGCTGACCGATTATTTGACTAATGGACTAAGAGGCGGCAGCCCTAATATTCACTACCCTATACTTGCTTGCATTTCTCTACAATCAATATTGTTATTTGATCATTAGAAAAAATTAGCTAATCTCACAAATCAAGATACAAATTTTCACCCCAATGCATAATATTTAAACATCCACTAATCACTACTATACTATTACTATTAATACTATACTAATTAATTACTATACTAATATTATTGGTAATGAATGAAATAACTTCATGTAGTGTTAAAAGTTTATGTTCATGTTCAGTTTATAGAGGACTTCTACAACGCACACTATCACACTGGACCGAACAAGGCATGAGATGAAGTTACCTGGAAGCCGAGCAGAATGCAGAGGTACCACGGCGGCCGGTCATTGATGGAGTAGACCAAGTCTGAACCTTTGTCCACGGTCTCCTCCAGGGCCTCCGTGTGCGGCTCTCCGATGTCCATGGTCAGCTGTGGCGGTTCATCACCGTCTTTGTCCTTGGAGAGAAAGAATTCAGCAACGTTCATCTATCCAAGCAACATCAAATAAAAAACTATATTTTCATTACAGTCATTTAGCAGATGCTTTTATCCAAAGCAACTTACAATTCAGATTATATCACATTTCTACACCGTAGGCACAGCTACAGGAGCAATTTTGGGGTTAAGTGTCTTGCTCAAGGACATATCGACGTGCGACTAGCAGAGCCGGAGCTGGGGATCGAACCGCCGACCCTCTGATTGAACGACGGCCCTGCTATCCACTTAGCCACAGTCTCACCCCTCTTTTCCTCTTTAACTCCCAGGCCCACATTTTTCTGACAACACAAGCATACCTTTGAACCAATCCCTCTGTTGCTGTGAGCATACTTCACCAGAGACTCTCACAGAGCACACCTTTTTTTCTTTGCATTTGAAACTGAGGGCAGTTCATGGAAATCCTTCCATCTTTTATGGGGAGCTGTGTGTTTAGTTCAGCTCAGCTGACAGACACCAATATTGATCGTACCCAACGGAGTTAGTGTAAGCAATGACGTGCGGATTGGAACATCCATCCGTATGCTGGTGGAAGGTGAGGTGAACTACATACCTTCTCCCAAATCCTATCAAGATGGGGGTGATGAAGCTGTAGAAAGTTGAATTACAGCCAACTTCTTGTTTATATAAGAGAAACTTTAATGCGTTTCTTGAAAGCGAGTGGAAGGAAATGTCATAGTGCAACATAAATCAGGATCAACTTCAGGGATCAATAGCATCCTTCTTAAGGTGCTAATCGTAATTCACTAGGGCCGTCCTCGCCCAAAGAACTTTTTCTCGACAAAGAAAAACAAAAGCCAGAGATGTGCTCATAAGTTTCTCAGAAATGAGTCATTCAGCATGAAAAAGCATAAATAAAGCATAAAAAAACGACTAAACAACTTAAGAAATATTAGTCGACGAAGACCAAAATTACTGATTATTTGACTAATGGACTAAGAGGCGGCAGCCCTAATATTCACTACCCTATACTTGCTTGCATTTCTCTACAATCAATAAGGTGCTGAATGAAGATGTGAGGATTTGACGAAGAGGCAACGAGTGTGGTCCTTCTTACTAAGAGCGGTCGACTTCATTTATGAGCTATTTATGAGCTAAATATAAAAACGTGGTGAAAAAAAATACAAAAACATGAAACAAACAAACAGAAAACATGGATTAAAGCTGAATATTTTGTTAAATAAAAACATATTGTGATCTTTTTTTCAACATATTTTTGGACTGAGGCCTGAGACAATTACAAAGACGAGTACTGCTTGTATTTTTAATTATAAATATACAGAACAAGCTAATGTCATGCATTTATAAGGGCAAGGTAAAATAAAGAAACAACGTCCATGCGGTCACTTCTCATGTCAACACACAAAGCAGATGAAAGATTTTTTTTTTCTTCCCCGCAGTGACAGCGGAGGCCACTAACAAACGCTGCAGCCTAAACAGGCAATTAAGAACTATGAACAACCCATTTACAAGAATTGAACAAACTTAAACCTGCTGTAGCCGTGCCTGAAGTCAAACCTTCCACTTAAATGGGTACTCGCTTGTTAGTAGGAGTAGAACTATAAGTAAGGGGAAAAAAAGTCCACTAGCCGCTAGGCTAATTCATGCAGTGTAAAATGCCATCGATGACGGGTGAATCATAATCCAATCATGAGGCCAGTGAATATTCACACCTCTACTAATTGATTTTACCACCATTGTTCATAAAAACTAAATTATTGATGGAAAATATTTGGTGAAGCAACTCACTGAACCCTGTATGCATGTGTGTTTGCTGTCTGTATTGCTGTCTGCATCTCCAGGAATAGCAATGGTTATCAACTTCTTCCCAAAATCAACTAAAAATACAAGCTATGAATTTCCTAAACCTTACGCAGCAGCTACCAATAGTATGAAAAGTCAACCTTTATCGAAGGGATGAGTGTGTGTAAGCCACTCAGTTGTGTTCAGGTTTAACAAGCAGGGAAAATTCACTGGCTTCTGGATCTCTGTGCCCTTATCTAGGATGACAACAGCTGCTTCTGTTCCCATTTAAGTGACAAATGTGTGGTGATAATCTGAAGTATTTTATGTCAAAGTGTCGACTAAATAACTTATGTGGCATATTGATTTACCTCAATATCCTCTTTCATATACCAAAGAACCTTGAAACCATATATTTCATCAACTACTTCTTCTACCTGAAAGGATCTGCTTGATGTGACAGAAACAGTACTGTCCATTAAGTTGTCAAAATAAGAGCCATGGCACTACTCAATTCATATAGACTTTGTTTTGGAAAACAAAAGGACTTTCCCACATAAAAATTCGAGTCTTGTTGAAAAGCCAGATGTCGCAGGCTTTTTACCAGGCCCTTAACACAACCTTTAATTGAGGGACCAAACTCATCAAATGAGTCTCTGTACTCCACATCTAAATGTAACGAAATCCACATGCGACTCGTGCTTACAGATCCAGCCAATGCAAAATGATAGCTTGAAACGGACACACGTAGATCTCCGCCAGGTGTGTCTGCAACGACCACTGCTGTAACGATGGATTGAATGAATGCAAACCATGATGGCCCACCGTCTAGAGACTGCAAGCCTGTCAGACGCTCTCATTTTAATCCATGTGGCTGTCCGCACCTCTGTGCAGCTAAACTGCAGTTCACCGTGTAGCGCTTCATGTTGACTGTTAACACTTCTCCTGAATAGAAACTGTCCGTCCTGCTGTGTGTTTGGTTCTGTTAGCCTTTGGCTCTGTTAGATGTATTAGCCCTGTTAGCGCTGTCTCTCACTTTCTCGCTACCCTATGAAAAGCGGCTGAGTGGCTCTCGTTCTTTGGTTTCAAGTCTTCTTCAATACAGCTTGATGTTCATTTAGTAAATTATGGTCCATTTAGGGTCAAATAGACCATAAAGCAGGGTATGCTTTGGGGCGGGCTTAGTGTGATTGACAGGTTGCTGTTGCTACTAGAGACATATACGGCGTTTCCACGTCACTCCTCCGCATTCCAAATATGGTAACTTCTGTTCTTCGGTTGCGAGAAAAACAACATGGCAACGACTGTAATCCAAGATGGATTATGGTAATCCAAGATGGTGAAATCGCCGAACTCAAGTCTTCAAAACATCAGTCCACAAACCAATGGGTGACGTCACGATGACGTCCACCTCTTATATACAGACTATGGTCCAAACTGAAGCAGTAGTCAATGACTTGTTGCCCCTACCGGCAGGTTCAGAGGAGAGAGGAGTCAGCAGTCAATGATGCAATATAACAGTAAATAAAATATGTCTTCAAAAAGTGTGCATCACTGCAACCACGAGAGGTCCTCCAGCATGCAGTCATTAGTGAGCACCAGAACTGGAAGAAGCTTCTCTCTTTTATGTGGGTCAGAGTCCCTCTCGCCAAACTCAATTTGAATCCTGGATGAAACGACAAAGCGCCTGATTGGTTATGTTCCTGTCCTGTGTACTGTACATCCTTATTTGGCCCCTGAGCCAAGTTTACATGTTACCACCAAATCTGTTACATAACTTTAAAAATGGCTTTTAAAACTAAGCACTAGTAATATTATGTTTGTCAGTTCAAAGAGCACTAGAGTTTAACACCAACGCTGCATTCACATGATGAGAAATTTGCTCCTCTCTCAAGACGAGGTAAGACGTGAGTCACCAAAAAGATTTTTGTTCCGTAAACTTTTCTAAACTTTTCCTAAATCTGGTAGCCCCGTTTGACCACTTACATGTTGCCATGCATTACCTTTCCTGGTGAGATCGTGTTACCATTTTTTAATGTTGTGTTGTATAAAGTTCGGGAAACAATCTACATCCCCTGTAACGTTATGTCAGTGGTTCCTTCGGTGGCAACTTAATTTGTTAGCCACACCAAGGGAAGAGCTTCCAACGACCCAGCAGTTTACCACTACCAATGTGTGGGAGGCTTAAGCCTAAACAGCCTTCTTAAACTACTTTAAAAAAAGACTTCACCGGTCAAAGATGTTGTTCATCTCAACACCAGAACCTACGGTCTTACATTGGTCAACCTGTCACTATAATAGGATGTTTAATGTATTTCTTATGTTCATCCTTCTCACTGGATGCAGCAATTATTACACTTAAGAGCTGCCACACAAGATAATATCCAGCCTAGTGAATGTAAGCATGTAACACACCCGGGTCCCACAACCAGAAACAAAGCCCCATGCTGAAGCCGTCGAGTCCTTCTGTGTCTCAGAGGTTAAATCTGACATTCAATAGGCACTAAACTCCTTGTTCTAGACATCCCATCCACTGCATCCGTCCCCCCTGAGAGTCACATGACAGATGTGCACCCATCTGCACTGCTTTTCTTCTCCGTCTTTGATTTACTCGCAGAGTTCTCAGCAGGTGGTGTATGTCGTCGGTTGCTCCAGTACATGGCGAGGTGCTTCCATCTAGTGGTAACTACTCGCACTAAAGTACATATCACTCTGCATTTATTTGTGCATTGTGTTTTACGAGTTACGTAACTTGACATTTGTTTGTGAAATACAGTTTTAACACCAAAGTAAATTAAAAAAAAACTAACTAATTACTTTGAGGAACGAACAGTTTCAAGTATATTTTAGATTTTTTTTTTTAGATAGTCTAGCTGGAGGTCTGATTGTTTCAATATACTTCAAGTGAATTATACTGTAGGCGGCTAAGGTGGATGGTCAGTGTAAAAAGTGGAGGACTTTCCGGGGACCGAGGATCACGTCCTGAGTCCTGTCTGTGTTTAGGTGTCGACAAACAAAAGCACAACAGAGAACACCTTTGCTTCAGGTCACACTTAACTTTTTCAGTATTAAACCAAGACCACAATCTTTCCCTAACCTTAACCTAAGTGCTGTGACTGACTAAACATAACTACAAAACATTAACAATGCTACAAGCATCTTGTGACATGGCAGACACATTCATAAACAATGACTTTATTACATTGGTAATCAGCTCATTTTTCTATTTGCAAAGAAGTCACCACAGCACAACACCAATCTCAACACTATTTTCTTCTAAAATGAAGCCAAATCAATCCAAAAAAGTACTCAGTAGATACATATGGAGTTAAAAGTGGCAGCAGAGTGATTATTCAGGGCACAGCGTCATGTGCTGAGATGTGTGCCCTCCACAGCTGTGACGATATGGATGGATAAATTGAGCGTGGGAGGACCAATCGGTTTGCTGGCTGCATGGATGATCTTCAAGAGCCTCTTCGAGTCAGTGAAGTATACAGAAGGATACTAAAGACCCGGTTCAATGGCGCTGTGATGCAGCAGGAAGCAGGAAGTGTTTTAGTTTCCGGATCACTGATCGTCTCTGTTGGCAGCATCTGTGAATTTGTATACTGATTCAAACTGGGATTGCTGTTTAATCTAATGATGAGATATTTGAAAGCCTTAAACCACCTCAACCCTCTTCATACAGTGTTTTTATGTGTGTTATGTTTTATGGACCATGAAGCGTTAGAATGTAATGATTATGCAAAGCAACACAGCAATGTCATACGTATATTTGAAATAGAGATAAAAGGAAAAAGGGGAAACTATACTTAGTTACTTCCTATGTTTTCACCTTTTAATCTGGAGGCCAAAGTAGTTGGGTTATTCCACCTCTAGGCCGTTATCTCATTTTTTTTAATTTAAAGTTTAAACCGGTTATAATACAGTTTCAATTTCATATTGATAATATTGATTATGACCTCCATAAGTAGCGGGTCAGATTCTATGCAAAATCAGACAAAATCATGCAGGTCCACCACAAACTCCTTCAGCTCAGTCTCCAGCAGGGCCTCACCCGGAAGTGGAGAGCTCCTACTTCCAGCCAGGAGCGGAGCTTCGCCTCGCTGCTCCGCTGGTCCCCGCTGGGGGCCAACACCGACACCATACTGCTGGAGACCCAGGATGTATTGCTGGGCCCACTGACGGGAAGGGAGGCACGGTAGAACCAGAACCAGGACTGTGCAAGGCAGACAGTCAGACCCTGCTGCAGTATAACGAGAGGTTTTCTGAAGGTCCTCGTAGTATTATTTACTACTTATTTACTACTGGTTTATACTAGTTGATTATTGGTTAATGTGATTGGTTCCTAGTAGCCTGTAACTGAAGTGTTTTTTCTTGAGGCAGGAGGAGCACTTTGTCCGGAACAACAACCAAGTTCACACCCAAACAGCATCTAACCTGCCATCGAGGTCAAGCCTACTCAGGCGCTGATGAAGCCGATAGCAGCTACGTGTATCTTACCTGTAAAAACAAGCCACCAAACTTCCACATGAACTGTGATGTAGACACCTACAGTACAAGAAATGCTATTCATTAGCCAAATCTACATTTAAAACTGTGAATTTTAAATGTTGGCAAAATTCTCTACATCTTTACAAACTTAAACTGAAGTCTTAAGACCTGTCTGAGGAGGATCAGCAATCTGAGCGGTTCTGTCCGCGTCCCGGTCTCTGTGAGACGGCCAGTCTAAGGTGACTGAGTTTGTGTTGTATTGATTTCCACACTTTCATACAACCATGCATGCAACAAATAGGTGTACAGTTCTTGCCATATTCAGTCACACCAACTACTTTCCATTGTAAGACACATTCCCTTACCTTGCTGTAAATACTGCTACATATTCTCCATTAGTTTCAGTTTGTGGGGGGCAACATACTTGTGTTAGCACAATGGCTTTGCTGTTTGGTTCCCCCCCCATGAATGCATTCCTTTCTATCAATGAATCTATTTGGCAACAACATTGTATGAGACTATAAGTGCTACTTCTAGCACGGTTTCTCACAAACATGTAAAATGTTCTCAATTGTGTCAATTATTTGCAGTCATTCACAATGAGTAAAAGACCAAGGGTCAGAGTTACTGTCCTATGACAGTGTCCACCAAAAAGAGATGTGAGCCCTGCAGAGCCTTTTGGGTTTTGCTTTACCTGAAGCCAGCCATTGTTTTTGGAGTTTAACCTCCATCCTACGTTGATACCTGAAACCGTAAATTAGCTTCCACTGGACTGCACTGACAAACAAAAGCTCACTTGTAAAAACAGCAAGAAGAATGCCAAGAACACATTGCTTTCCCATTCCATTGCTTTGCACTGGTGAGTCCGAAACGTAGTCCGGGTAGAAAAGACATTCTGTACCAGGTTGCTGCATTTGCTGAAATTGTTTGATCTCAACATGCATCCTCATCTGCTTCCATGTTATCATAGTTATCTGCTATTATGAGCCTTAAGAAGTGACTGTTGGGATTTCTCACATGCTATATGCGATTGATGTTTTTAGCTCGAAAACACTGGGAAAAATCTTAAAAAGGCACCATGTAACGTGTCATCTACAGAGTGAAGTGACTCCATTACCTTATCACCTTTTTGTTTTGTGCTGTACATTTCTGTAAGTCAGTGTACTTTTGTCCCATATAGCCCAAATAGCCTAAAAACATCCGGGCAACTTCAAGAAGTAGACTTAGTTTCAAATGAATCTTAAGTGTAAATGTAAAGAAGGAAGGAAAAGCAGGGCCCAAAGTTCTAAAGGGGTTATTGTGAAATATTATTACAAACTCAAAGCCTAGATATGAATTATAGAAACTTAATCTGGACGTCACAGTCGGCAAGCTCGATCGATTTATTAAATGTATAAATCCTAGATCAACATCTTTGACTTCATTGTATGGTAGAAGTCTCATGTTGGGCCTTTGTATGGGACTGTCAGGTGGTACACAATACAAGGATAATAATAATAAATGACGCCTCCGTTCCTTTGCCGTCATTATTTTACAGATGTTGACAGACTGACGTGTTCGCCCATCTGCAGACGAAGCTACGCTGTTTGTTTGGTGTTCCCATTTTTACAAATTCTTCAGTTCATTTGGGATTTCGGGAGGAAAACAAGGGGAAGCATCAACCCTGGGCTCAGCTGTGTACACTTGCGCGCCCCATGAAGCCTGACCTTTTCACCGTACTCTCACACAAACCACACATCCCCGCTGCAACATCCTTTATCCAGTTTCTGTTTCGTGGTTAGCGTTTCATAAAAGAACATTTCTAGGTCAAGACCGATATTTGCCACATACTTTAAAACCACGCAATCGATTCCTCTGAAATATCTCGTCTTTCGTGAAACACATTCACACTTTGGTCGTTTCACATTCCACAGTGGCTTGCATTTAGCTCTTACTGCTGTCATGTAAGTAAGTAAATACCAAGACTATAGTAATAAAAAAACAGCTTTCATATCATATATAATGATAATAAAGATATTTGCCTGACTGATCTATCTTAAAACCTCAACAAGTGTTTGACACTTTGATTTTGTGGGTGTCACAAAGCCCAACTGAGGAGAGAATAAAGATGACACGTCACTTACCCCAAATGCAGGATTGACCGTCCCCTGCTCCTTGAGTCCCAGCTCGATTTTCTCCTCTGTCAGACGCATTCTGATAAAATGAAGCAAAGTGGTGTATAGTTGCTTCTGGGCCCAAGTTGCCTCTGCACAGATCAACAAACACACACGGTGGGAGTAAAACCCTGACTGACCGCGGACCACAACGTGAACGACCGCCTCACGTCGCCAGGGAAACAGAGTATCACGGTCAGAAAGTGAGAGGCTCACTTATTTTGTAATCTCCTCTCCGGCTCGGAAACATTTCTGCTCTGCCGCTAAGCCACTGTGGGCTGTAGTTCCTCTGAACACGGTCATGTGCCTACTGTCGTGTGACGATGGATCCTGTGAGTGGAGACCAGCACATTTTGTCACATGAATCTTTCATTTGTCACACTCATTAAGAAGGTCGTCTCCTCTCAAAAGTTTGGTGTGAAGACATTTTGGTGGATGTGTAGGGTTTCACTGCCTCTATCTTCTGTGTTTCATTTGATTATTAGGATACAGTAGTTCACCTCTGCTAATATGGACATCTTCATGTGTAACGTTACAATACTTGACGTTTAGGTAGGATGACATCGTCATTAGTGTCAGTTCATATCTCTAACAGATCATTGTGTTCCGCTCCACAACGTAAGACTGCAGTGATGCTGTGTTTAATATATTCCCCTCCAGCCTACATTTGATATTGTGTACCTTTGTTACAACTTGTGGAATGCATATTAAAACTTAAAACAACACTTACGACACATTTATAACTGCAGACAAAATGGCTTATTAAAGGTGACAAACTTCTGAGACACCACAGATATTATAAATTATAAGTTATTAGTGCTTATAATTAAGTAAATGTAGGTAAATCATTTTTTTATCATTAATAAAGTTTAATGACAGTTTATAAACCCATTATAAAGGTGATATAAAGTCACGGATTGTGATATCCATGGCTTAAAAAGTGCATCCTACATCCTAAACTCATGTACAGATATGTGTACCATATCTTTACATGGGGCGGCTGTGGCTCAGGAGATGGAGCGGGTCGTCCTCCAAACAGAAGATTGACGGTTCAATCCCCGCCTCCTCCAGTCCGCGTCGATGTGTCCTTGGGCAAGACAATTAACCCCAAACTGCGTGTGTGGTGGGAATGAATGATTAGTTAGAGTCCTGATGGACAGGTGGCACCTTGCATGGTAGCCTCTGTCATCAGTGTATGAATGGGTGTGAATGGGTGAATGATGACACGTAGTGTAAAAGTGCTTTAAGTGTCGCTATACAAGTACAAGTCCATTTATCATAGCCAATAGCTGTTTGTATTAATATTCAGAATGTTAAATACAGTTCCTTCCGAACCCTTAATTCAATCTTTGAAATTGGTCCACCATTGAAACCTCATCTGACCCGATTGTTATTATTATTTCCACACATCCTGAGGATTTGGACACGCTCTGGGTACAGTATGTGAGAAAAAAACACTATGCACTGTACACACACACTATGAATACTATGTTTAACATCACTGTCCTGCATGCCAAATGGCTACCCGTTTGTTTGCTAAAGGAAGGACAAATCAATCCGGTCCTTCGTCATGCCACATTTAGACTTGTCACGAGAGTCATTGAGAAAAGGTTCTGCTGCGCTCGGAGCAGCTGAGGATTCTTACAAACTTTACCCAGACCAGATTGAACCACGAGTAACGCAAGTAAGCAAGTTACAATATTAGCAAACCTCCTCATAATTTACTTTCCTTTGAGAAACTGAGCCTGACATTCTGACTGGAGGACATTTTATTACCTATCATTGCCTTCATGGGAATTTATTACGGTCGCCAAATAAGTTTCCAGAATTTCTTCCATAGTCTTTTATTTAACATTTGTCTGAATTTTTGTACTGTTCTAATAATTGTAGCCTACTTTTAACATTGAGTCTAATATGAAAGGCTACCGTTGCTGAGGGGACATTAAAATAATGAGATAGCCTGTTAAATCTACTTGTCATGCATTTATTTGGTATCATTTGTACATCTCTTGTATATATTTCTTGAAATGGTTGGTTTACCTACTCAAGATAATATGAAGTGGTGCGTAAATGTCAGTAGAAATGGTAGGGATGTCATTTACACAGATTTGCTCTTCTCATGATTTATAGGATAGGGTCTTTTCTGAATTGGGTCGTGATAGTCATTCATAAAACACTGTTTTAGCTGTTGATTTTCCCCAACATGTCTAACATAATAGTTAAAATATTTCAGGTCAACCATGTTCACAGAAAAAGTCACAGGTGTTGAAAGTAGTTTAGTTGTTAAATTTGCATTTAGACTCTTTTACAGCTGATGTCATCAAAAACACGGAAGTGGAGTTTTTCCCGAGTCATCCAGACGAGTTAGCAAGCTTCATAATAATATATTCCATATATTCCAACAGCGGACTCGAGTACGAATGAATTCCGACAGCATCACGACCAGTCGAGAGTCACCAGTTAATAAACACTCCCGCTGGAGTGATGAAACGATGGAAAACGCTCTTGTTTGTAGAGCTTATTTTAAAACTCAAACTCAAAAGTCTGAGTCTTTGTCTGAGTATTTGCTGTTCTGTACATGAGGATGAACGTAGTCGTGAGCATCTAGTGACTCGCATACTCGTAATTTCTCACCAGTGCAACGTTAGACACTAGTTTGTCCAAATACGTGTATATATATATATATATATATATATACAAATTCTTAATTTACTTTACAGCACCGTGCATTGTCTTAAATGCTGTGCTAGCGCTGATGAGGGCAAAATGGTTATATTTTGAAATGTATTATTACCCGTTTGCTATGTTTTTATTATAGGCCACAGTAAGTATAGGAATGTCTACGTATGAACTTAGAAAGGTAATATATCAGACAATACAAAATATATGCAAAATGTTTATACCACTCTTGTCCCTCCATCATTTTGAAGTTCTAAGAAGATTTTAGACAAAAGTTAGACCGTTTGTCTTACGCAGAGCCAAGACAAGTCTGTGCTTGAAGAAGAAACCGTGCAGCTTTTGGGATTGAAGAGACCCTGAATGAAGAAACTATACAACTGTGTTTGGCTCGGTGCACCACTGAGACTTGTGTGTATCGTGTGTCAGGGCACCATGTAGAGCTGGAACTGTTGTCAAAGGAGATACAACAATTTATGATTGTTCGCTTTTGAAATGCTGCCTCACTGTGAGCCTGAATCTCTGAGCCAACTTGCCGAAAGTCAAAGCCTTCCGATGTTCGGCCCTGAAGAGTCACCCTTTGATTTTCTTATTCATCACTTTCTTCTTGTAGCTACCTACATCAGCACCACAAAGAGGCCCCTTTGCAACTGTAAATAGTATTTCACAGTACGTTGTTTCTGCTTACATGCGGCATTGTCATTTTGTGTGTTTTTAAAAGACACTGTAAATATCAGCAGTCACGGACTCTGTGAGAATTCAAACTGCTTTTGTGTTTTGTAAATGGGTTTTACACATCTCCGTGCTCAGGATAGTTTACCTCCCTTGATGACTGGTTCCCTCTGGCCTTTAAAGTGCAGCTAAGAGACTTTTTTTCCCCAATAAGTTGCTACTGAGAGTCTATACAGCAAGTGTCTGAAGGGATTTGACATGGAACTCCTTGCACTGAAAAGATTCTTTGTACCTTCAGCCTCTCACAGTTCACAACAATGTTGCGGAGAGTCTTCCACGTGATGAAACCAAAGAGGTGGGAATACTTCCAACCTGACAAAGTAAACCTTGGTTTTGTTTTGTAGCTGTGTTAACTGAAAGCACGGTGCCAGATACTCTACATACAGTATATTCAAAATAAAAGATCTTTCTGATACTTCACACATTTAAAACAAAAAGCATTTAGAGGAGCTGGTACCACAACTGTTAGTGAAGAGTAGCAGCATACTGTGTTACCAACCACTTCAAACAATAGGACAGATATGGTAGACGGTGACTAATAAAACATATGAGTAGATGTCCGTCCAAAATAATTGATCAGAGCTTCGTGTCCGGGCTCTGATGAACCATGGACCCTTGCGATGGTGTGACGCTCTGAGTAAGAGCAGCAGCTGTTGACCCGTGTGCAAGCAACTGATCAGCATGAGTGTTCCTGTCCTTCGCTGAGAGACATCACCTATACCGACATAGTGGGAAGTAACGTGATGTTCCGATAGCGGAGCTAAGTCATAAGAAGAAGGTCAGGGTGAACGATGTGTGTACAAAGCAGAGGTTGTACCAAGTCATTGTCTTGCAAGTTCTGAGTCAATTCCAAAGTCAAGATTGTCAAGTCTCAAGTCCGAAACTTTGAGTTTTAACAAGTCACAACTCCCTCTTCACCAAATGAAATGCCATTTTAACAACAGAGTAATTGGCGCCACTTGGAACTCAGTAATGTAAAGTTAGTTCTTCATGGTTTTCTCCTGCAACTTGATTAGATGCTGCCGGATTGGTTCAAACAAAGTGGATGTGGGGATTTAAGATTCGACTTGCTGGAGATGTTTAGCATTAACTTTAGTTGATTCAGTAAATGAAGGGTTCATGGTGTAGCGGATTGCCTATATGTTCTTAGGGTGTCAGCCCAACAATTTAATGTTTGAGATTTTTTTGTTGTTAAAAAAGGATCTCTCAAAAGGTAAATAAACCCAATACCTCCGACGCTGTCTGAGTCCAGTACCGGGCAGTAGATCGGCTTTGTGCACACACTTTTTTAAATAACATACTTTTTAATCTTTGGGCTTGGGGGGGAAGTATTTTATTTAAGTCAGAAGGCTCAAGTGTAAGTAGAGTCTCAATCATTGGTGTTAAAGTCCAAGTCGATTTGCAAGTCTTTTTTGATTTTAAAGTCATGTGACTCGAGCTCGCATCTCTGGTTCAAAGCCTCCAATTTAGACTTTGTTTTACAGGTGTTGGAGACCATCTTTGTGCAACCCTTAAATAGGCAGGTTTATTGCATAATGTATACCTTTTTGCTCTGACGATGTTTTTTCCGAACACTAATCAAGTAGTTGCTGCTGCCTGATGTTGAGAATAAGTATTGATGTGTTCGGATTGTATATTGACTATTGAATGGATGATCAATGATTGTTTTTCCCACGTCAATATTAAAGCGATTTTAACTCAATTTGAATCAGAACTAAGATGATATTAAATAATCTCTAGAATCTGCGCCTTCAGTATTTCTGGTGGAGCGGGATGTCCGCCCGCTGACCCCATTAATAAGCACAAGTAAAATATTAAATTCCATATTTGGGATCTTTCCGTGCATCCGACACTCAACTTCTCTGTTCACAAAACTGTGTTCTG